TAGACCTCCTAAATAGCTGGGTTGCAAGCATACACCACCACACCCAGCTCAGAGACAAGTTTTATGTGGGACTCAGTTTCAACTAGAGAACATGAGATGTTCACTCTTGGCAATGTAGGATTCTAAGTGGACTTATTTATCTTTAAATATTTCATGAGCTAAGTTCATAATCATGTTATAAAAAGTATGAATGATAATTTAGGCATATCAAATAATATCATGTTTTACTTAATTTACAGTCTCGTGATAAATTAATAATTCATTACATGTTAATTCTATACCACTGTGTATTCAAGTACACAAGACCAGTAAGCATAAGATCAATGTGTGATGACATTATAAACATTTTAATAGAATTTATTCATAATAATCACCACTCTAAAACCAATTCATTACTTTTACCATTAATTAAATTTGACTTGAAAAATGTATGATGTTTGATGTTACTTAGAAGAATAGCTATTTACTTGTTTTTGTGATGTCAGATTCTCTGATACTCAGTCTTCGTGATATTTTGGGTATGATTTTTTAAAGTACACACTTAACACTGTATAAAGTAATGAGTTTATTCTTAAGTTAACAAGATTGTCAGTAAAACAGAAAAAGTTCATTGCATTAATTAGCATCTTATTGAAATATAATTTTAATTTTATGTTGTTGCATTTATTTACTTTACCATTTTTATTCAATTTTAATGTGTTCATAAATTGCTCAATAAATAAAACTAATAGCTTACAAATAAATTTTAAAGTTAACATATTAATTTGATTTTTTTTTTCCTTTTGCAGTACTTAGTATCAAACCCAGGGCTTTGTGCATACTAGGCAAGTACTCTACTACTGAGATACATCCCCAGTGCAGCATATTACTTTTCTTAAAAGGCCCATCATATTCATGCACAGAAATTATCAATCAAAAATTGTGAGATCATTAGGGGAAAATCTAGAGCTTTTTTATATTTTATCAACATGTATACTCATTAGCTTATTTTAAAAACTTCTCATGTATTGATAAAATTTTGTAAGTTTATATGGCAAAGTTCAGAACGTAAAATTACATTGATCAATTAGAATATACACAATCTTGGGCTGGGGTTGTGGCTCAGTGATAGAGCCCTTGCAATTCAATCTTCAGCACCACATGAAAATAAATAAATAAAATAAAGGAATTGTGTCCAACTAAAAAATAAATATTAAAAAAAAGAATATACACAATCTTCAGGAACTAGCCAACACACCTACTCTGTGCCAGGAATTATATCAAGAACTAGGAACATAGGTCTTGGAGATACAAGGTCCCTGCTGCTCTGAATGTGTTTATATTCCTAAAGGGAAAGATAGTTAATAAGCAGTAATAATCAGAAAATAAGAGGTATCAGTGAATTAACAAAGTCTAAGAGAGTGGCTGGGGTTTGCAATTTTCTTGTGGAGATGACATCTAATTTGAATTCTGGATGATCAGAAGAAGCCAATACAAAAAAAGAAAATCAAGTCACTCAAATTCAATTCACTGATAGCCAATTTTAAGAGACTTAATTTGCATATTGAAAGGAAAGAGGAAAAATGAAAACATTGGTGGAATTGTGTGTTCTCAGAACACACACACAAACACAAAACATGCTTTTTGAATTTTATTGTTATTGCTACAAAATTGTTTGTCAAATACATATAAATTAAGTCATAAGTATATGATCTCTCTTGGATCCTGAGTGTTAGTGAAATGGAGGGTAGCTTTTATATTACAGTATCTTTTCTTTTTTAACATGTTTTATTGGGCTTTAATGAAGCCACATTAAATAGGTCTTTAGGGAAGGAGAGATAAACATGTGGAATATATAAGGTTTTTTTAAAAGCATAGTAATATTAATATGTTAAATTCAGAAAACAGGAGAAACTGCAGTTTTTACAATGCAAACTATAGGAACAAAGACTGACTAATTTTGGACAATGGGTCTCTGTATAACATAAAATTCCAAAGTCTTGGAAGCAAGAGGAACATACTTTCATATTTAACCAAAGAAATCATACATGGGTTTCAAAAGTTTAAGACACATGGCCTGAAGTGCTTTCCTAAAAGTATCATCCTAATACTTAAAGAAATGAATCGAGAGCCCTAAAATTACACAATTCTATTTTAGCAAATAATTCTGAGTGAATTATCAAGGTGGGCATAGATTTACATGCAGGAATATTTCTCTTAGATTTATTTGTAATTATGAAAGTTTGGGAGAAATGCTATCTCCACAAAAGGAACATAAATAAACAAAATTTTAAATAAATAGCCAAAATTTTCCATCCAGTACTTAATGTTCATGTTTTAGAAAAATACTTAATGCTTTACTTAATAGGAATTATATAGTAAAATTCCTAAGAAGAAAAGAATACAAAATGGGACGATTCAATATTTAAAAGAAAAAAATCACACTTACATAGAAAATATTTAGAATCAGTATAACTGCTTTGGAGAACAATTTGGCAGTGCCTATAAAGTTGAAAATGTACAAGCTCTACAACCCAACATTAATGTGCTTGACATAATGATAGATTAAAAGTTGTAAAATCTTAAGATAGAATATTACGCAGATGTTAAAAATTAATGCATTTGAACTGTATATCTACAACAAAGATAGGTCTGTATATTTCAGCAGAGACAGTTTCCAAAACAATGTTAAATTTTAAAAAGAACGTTGCAGGATGGTATAATATGGTAGTATTTATATAAAGTTTTAAAACACTTATAACAATACAAATATTGTTTACAATACACATGTAGGAAATAAGCACATAAAATTATAACCAGAAATGATACAGGCCAGAATCATGATGGGAGTTGCCTTTGGAGCAGAAGGGAGAGGAATGGGTCTGAAAAGCAAATCAAGTGGGACCTGATGATGGTATTTTACTTCATCTGAAATATTTTCTATGTCCTTTATTTGGAAAAAAAAAACTGACAAAATGCTTATATTGCAAATTTTAGTGGTAATGATATATCCTTGTTTATTTATGAAACTCATTTTTGTGTGTGCTTTAAAACTTTAAAAAACAAATGATTGAAAGAAAATATGTCAATGTTTGCAGTGATTATCAATCTTCAGGGAGATGACTTCAATTTTTATTTTCATATCCAGGCTTCCACATTGATGCTGAACATTACACTATGCTTAGGATAAAGTGGTACCTTACTGCTTGAGTCCATTCAGGCTACTATAACAATATTCCAAAAACTAGGTAGATTAGAAACAACAGCAATGTATTTCTCACAATTCTGGAAGCTGTAAAGTCCGAAATCAATGAATCAGCAGATTCAGAGTCTAGTTAGCTCACTTTGGGGTTCATAGATGATACTCATAGCAGCTAGCAGAGTGCCTACTACACAGTAACTGCTCTGTAATGTTGAAGGAAATGTGAATAAACACATAGATAAACAGCAAAAGTCACAGTCAAAGGTACAGTGAGTGGAAGACAGAACATTAAGTGGGTCATTTCCATGAGAAGCAGAGCACAGTGGAATGGGCCCAGTGATGCAAATTACCACCTTGGGACTGTTATTATTTGGTACTTTTCTTGATATCCTGACTTTTCCCTCAATAAATTTTTGCTACCTTTCTCATTTCCTGCCAGTGCTGGCCACACCCATAAGCACAGTCCCTGATTTACAGCTAAATGAGTCTTTACTTTATTACATATCCTTAAACTGTCTCAGAGCCAAGACTACACATAAATACAAATAAGGCATATACCTGATGGGCTTTGCTATAAGATAATCTCTTGCTTTCCTAGTGAGGAGATCCAAAAAAGTGTTTCTGACCAACTTAGGTGTATAGAGTTTCAGGAATGCAGATTAAATAGTCATGTTCATTCACATTTTTTTAATTTGTTAGTTTATACATGCATATTTAAAACATTATCTATAAAATGCATTAATTTTTTTCATTTAAACTTTATGAAATCAGTTTAAAGCTTCCATATGAATCTCAAGTCATTTAACATAGATTTCCAGAGCAGAGCATCTTCACTTCTATTTCAGTTCTTTAAGGTACAACATTTTTTGATTTTGTGGATGAAGCTATCACTGAAAACTTTTTATCACAAATAACAAGTCCCACCATATAACACTAGGATGATTTTTTTACTCATCTTTTAGTGTAGTTTTATGAGGCCAACAATATGACTAAATGCTAAATACTAAATTGATCATTAAAAGGCTTGTTTACAACAATAAATGGTGCTACCAACTGTGACATCATATTTTCCACAATATTAAGTACTAAATCTTTTCAAAATGTACTTGTCTTTTTTTTTTATGCAATAGCCTCATCAAGATGAATTCTATAAGCATTCTACAGTTGCAGTGGTCACTACAGTTTCAAGTTAATGTGTTTTCTCCAAAAAAAAACCCTGTGACTTAATAAAGGAATTAAGAAAGTACACCATTATGTGAGGGATTTTGAAAATCTTGACTATAAAGCAGCTCCCAATCTGAACAGTCTATAACACTGGGGGGAAATCTTCTATTTGAAAATGTACTATAAATTTATTTTCTTTAACTTTTTTAAAAAGAGAAACCTTATCTTCTTTATGCTAATGATTAGGAAAGAAAGCTGAAGCATAGCTGCATATAATATTAAGGAGTAATCAAAATGTGAGTGGATTAACATCATTTTTGGGTTTACAGAACATTAGAGGTTTGAATACATTTTGATTTCAAGTTAGAAGCAGGCTCTGTGTGTATATATCTGTGTATGTACTTGTAATGCCGTAATTATGGGTCTATGTCTAGGAATTAGAAAGTTGCAAATGGTGAAGAGCAAGTAAATTGGTTTAACTAGAGTAAGTGGATCAATTTAAAAGAAGAAAACAAGTTCACTTTGATGTGTTCTTGTGATGGCAGAGGAGATCAAAGTGATAGGGAACAGCTAATAGTTTATTCTATTTGAAAATTGTGCAGCTTCTCAGTTTTCAACATTAAATATACAGTTTACATATCTGCATATGTTTCAGGCTACATTATTGGAATTCTGAAGTCATGAAAGCATCAGATGAACCAGCCTGCAACACCTTGGATTCAGATTGGAAGATAAAGTTTAGAAAATGTGGCCTTTAAGGGCTGGTAGTACCTGAAAATATTAATTAAAAATGACACCAATTTCTAAACAGTAGAAATTATTTTAGTTCAACATCAAGGTTCAAAACAAAATGTACAACTAAAAACTTTACACTCCTCCCTCCCCCACTTCAGACAGGTGCCAGCATTGGTGAATTATGATTTTCCTTAGTTGTAAGCACTCATTTTTACCCATGTAAACCACCCCTAGGAATTAAGTATTGGTTATTTAATGTAGAGTATAATGGGAAACTGATTAATTTTACAATGGCAGAGTTCAAGGACTTGGTTCCAAACTGAGCCGAAGCTTCCCAATGCTTTTTGTACAGTCTGAGAAAAACTGTGCTGCATTGGCCCATTTTTGAAGGCCATCATGCTCTGTAATATGAAGATATCATCTTAATGCTGATATCTTTGGAGAGTCCCAAGCAGACACAGAAAATGAATGGAGGCAAGGAGTGTGACGGAGGGGACAAGGAAGGAGGTCTTCCAGCTATACAAGTTCCTGTGGGTTGGCAGCGTCGTGTGGATCAAAATGGAGTTCTTTATGTCAGGTGAGCCCTTATTTATTACCTATGTCACCTCCAAAGTCATAGTTCCAAAGTTAAGGAGGCAGAGTCTGTTCTTCTTTGAGGGAACAAAATATTGTGACTGACAGCACCTCAGATAAGTTTCAATAACTGACCTCTGTGCTAGAAATGCACAAGTACTTTTATTCTGTACTGTTTTGTAGTGTAAATTGACATAGATTATCAGAGAGAATTTTTATGCATTAATTGTGTTTACATGAGGTGTCATTCTGCTTCTCTGTAATAAGGATAAAAAAATATGAAGATTTCTAAAAAACTTAAAGCATCATTACTACATTCACAGAAGAATGCAAAATATTGGAAATAGACCCAATGCCATTTGGCAATATTACTCTGTTCTTAAAAGTACTTCAACTGACTTTTCTGATACTAAAGTTCTGTTTTTAATCTATTAGCAGTCTTACTTATTAGACTTCTTAATGCTTGATATTAACCAAAAATAATTTGCTTATTTTTTTCTGCACAGTTTTTAATCTATTTCCTTGCATGTAATAATAAAAATAAAGTCATGATGGAGATAGCTCTTCATATTACAAGTAAAAATCATACAACTAAATGCAAATGCCTCCTCTTTAAAATTTTCATGTTATATCTCTTTTAGAACAAGTTGAATGGAATAACTGAACTGTTGGCAAGAAGTTTTAAGTCTTATTTAATAAATAATTGGCATCTAAGTTCCTTATTTATAATTTTCCAATAAATATATAGAAGTTTAGGTTACCATAAGTCTTTCTTCATGATATAATAAAAAAATTAAAAGTAGACTTCAGATTTTATTAATTCCACATTAAGCAGGATCATTAAATTGATGCTGTTATTTTCAATGTGGCTCTTTGCATCCCAGCTTCAATAGAATTTTCAGTTCCCTATAGATGTATTTGTATGAATGAGGTATTTTCTGTGGTACAAATAATTTCATGCTTTAACAACTCAAAAGTCAGTTCAGATGTGGGTTTATTGTTTGTTTGGTTGGTTGATTTGTATGCTTGTAAAGTGCTTCTTGAGGTAAACTTAATTACCCACTGAAATTATTTTGTCACATAAAATTCTTATATCTATAATATTAATGATGTGCTCTGTATTCGAGGAGGTGAAGGAATAAAAACACAAGGAATGTGGAGCTCATCTCATAATAGAAAAGATGGACAAAGATACAAGGAATAACTTTTTCCAAGTGTTTCTATTACCAATGTGGCTCATAAAGTGCCAGAAATACTTTGTTATAAATATAAGAAATTATCAGTGATATATGTTTATATTTATGGTTATTCTAGTTTGTAAAGAGATGATGTATGTTCAACTTGAAGCAAATGACTTAAAAATCTTGATAATTTTTTTTACTCCATCTTATGAAAGATAAATCAACTTTTCATATTGCTATGAGCAAACCATGTCAAGTCTGGGAGTCAAAAACTAAGAAGTCTAAAAGTTAAAAAAAAAAAAAAAAAAGAAGTCTAATTAAAAGTTGATCAGTCACTTTCAGTTAATGTCAGTTCATAATTTTCCAAGACTGACTTCTTCACTTTTCTGATAATCATGTTAGTATGAGTTCTCCAAATTTAAGTCTGTACACTTGAGAATTATTTTAAAAACTAGACTTTTGCAGGTAAGGTTAAATGCTTTCAAATTAAATCAAGCCACCTGGGTTTGATTTGTTTATATATAACCAATTAAAATACTACTTGAATATATGTATGAGGCTAGCCTACCTTCAATGGCTACCTTCTCAATGTATAGTTTACCCCTCATTTTTAGGTTAATCTTCAATTTCTCCTGCCTCCTGGTAGCATTTTGAGGTGACACATTAAATTTTCCACCTGTTTCCAATTTTCTAAACTGTATCCATGCTGTAAAACTTGTAACTATTTTTTACATTAATTATTGCCCCCAAAAGTTAATTATAAGAGCTACAACTAAAGGAAAGAATCCAACTGACTAAGAGGAAGAGTTTCAAGAGGTCTAGAATACTGTAAAGGAATTTAGGAATTCTTGCCTTTGATTTTAATTTCACAATGAAATTCCTTTAGGATTCAGTGCATACACTTTCTCTTAAGCAAAATGTTGGCAATTTCTCTTCCCCCAATTCATCAATTCTTATTGTGAAAAATCAATAAGGTTAGTTATTGGTGACTTTGTTTTATTGAAATTATTATACCTCCAAAGCCTCTTGTTGCCTCTCCTTGCATATCATTTAGAAGTAGCCTAAATAAATATGACGGTTTTCATTTAAATTGTTCTTTGTGCCCAAGTCATTTGGACAATTGGCCTTAAACAAAATATGAATTGCATTTTAAGGCTAGTTCATTTATGACTGCACAACTGCTTATGTTTTTTAGAGGCAGAAAGTCTATGGCCAGTAGTGTAATACTTTGTGTATGAATTGGAGAGTATTGTTTCTGGATGAATTGGATCTAAAGGCTTAAGTTAGGATTTTACCTAATAGTCATAAATAAAAGATTTCAAATGAAAAGTTCATAGGAATTTCAAAGCATAATACTGATTTAAGTTGTAAAATCAAGATATTCATAAAGCCCTAAAATGTAAATTACCCATTTTAAACTACTACTCATTGTAAATAAAAAATCAAAAACTTATCCTATCATCTAAATTAGTATTTAATCTGTTTTACTAATTTTTGTGACCAGAGAGGAGTAAGATGAAAAAACCTACCCACTTACCAGCCTAAAAAATGCAAGGCACCTTTTGTCTACCTAACACCCTGTTTCCTCAAAAACTTCCCATCTTTTGTCAGCTCTGTTAGATTCCTCTCTGCACAATGTTTCTTCAGTACAATTTGAAGTAGGCCACAATGATCTATCTTCAAAGAAACACACTGGTAAAGGAGAGAAAGAAATATTTTTACATAGGGTCAACTTGGTTTTAGACTCCAAAATAAACAGTGAAGAATATATTATCTCTGACTTTTGTAGACTTGCCAACTTTCTGGTTTGAACTTTAATATGTTCCTAAGTTTCAGTTTTTCCTCAACAAGCTTTGAAAGTAAATGTCGTAGTTTAAAATGATAGTGATTCTTTTATGTAGTTTTTTCCCCCTGTTCCTTTCTTGCCTGTTTCTGTCCTTTCTTAAGAGTAGTATTTTTCCTGTCTTTAGTCCACTCTTGGTTTTCAAAATACTTTTGTTTAATTTTCTGTGAAGATCTGTATTTTTCTGAGAAATATTTTGGTACAAAAGAAAGAGCGATAGTGTTAAAGGCTATAATTTAGTAGCTAGCATAATATTGACAAAGAAAATGCTTTCCCTAGCAGGAAAATATTATCCTGTGAAGGACAGTAAGACTATAAATTATGCCTTTTTTCATATAATATGTGCAGTCAAAATTATTTCCTGATGTATTTTTAAACTATTTTTACAGTCCCAGTGGGTCTTTGTTATCTTGCTTGGAGCAGGTTAAAACATACCTGCTTACTGATGGAACATGCAAGTGTGGCTTGGAATGTCCTCTTATTCTTCCCAAGGTAACCATTTCACAATAGAGCTACAGCAGTTTTTTTATTTTTAGGTATTTTATATATTTGCTTTTCTCATTTGGCATTTCATTTTTATATTAGTTCTCCAATCATGTATTTGTTTTAACTTTTATCTAATTAGACATCTTTTACATGCATTTTGGAATGATTAAAGATTGTGGGAAATTTACTCAGGTCATTTTCAAAGGTGACAAACTATATTCATATTAAATATTTCTTTAAAACCACAATTCACCTTTTTATTAGAGCTGTACCTATGCTCAATATTTAGTAATGCAGTATTTTCTTTAACTACTCTAACTGCAATATTACTTTTAGCATGGTTATTGATAAGTCTGTCATAGATGTTTCTAAAATTGTAAAGCCAAACCCTCATAACCAAAATATGAAAATGTTTTACTCCTTTACAAGGTAAAAAGTAAAATTACTTAAAATAGTAAAATGTTATTTGCTATAGAAATAGATCATTCTCTGAATGTTTTATAGTATTAATTTTCAAACTAAAAATTAATAAACAACTTTTTTCTTTTTACTGTTACTGCATCATAAAAAAAATTTCTAATAAGTAAATTTTTAATAGAGCAGTAGATTTTCTAAGTCAGTGAAAAGGTAATATAAATACAGTAATAAAAGGAAGCCAAAGGAAAGTTAGCATGTAGAAATATCATAGTTTTTTGTTTTGTTTTTATATCTAGATTTTATCTGTTTTTGTACTGGTATAATATCAGGAACTATCTAAAATTGGAAACATTATTAGATATTAAACTTTTCCATATATTTATCTTGGTTATCTGAGAATTACTGTAATTTTCATTATTTATTTTGCTACTAAAAACCGTAAGTTCAGCAGAAGTATTTATTAAGTTATATAACATTGTTTTCCTTAAGTTTAAAAACTTAAGAAAGTTTTATTCAGATTTATGGCTTAATCTCAGTACAATGTTTTTCTTTTTAAAAAAGAGGATCTTTTTATTAAATGTTTTTGCAGATGTATTCTAAACAAAGACTGTGCTTTTTCCAGGTATTTAATTTTGATCCTGGAGCTGCTGTGAAACAGAGAACTGCAGAAGATGTTAAAGCAGATGAAGATGTCACAAAGCTATGCATACATAAAAGAAAAATCATTGCAGTGGCCACACTTCATAAAAGCATGGAAGCCCCACATCCTTCTCTGGTGCTCACCAGTCCCGGAGGAGGAACAAGTATGTAATATGGCTAAGGGGTTAGGAATTCTCCTCCCCCGCTCCATTGCAAGAGAAGGAGATGCTGGAAATCACTTTGCCAAAGCATTTTCCCATTTCACTTTTCAAACATGCACAGTGTTTTTAAGGTTTTATATGATCTATCATTTTAGTGCAAACAGCAAATTAATTCTGAAAAATTACCATGAGGTTATTTCCCAGAATTCCTTGTGCAGATCATCTAGTTACATAATCAGAATAAACACTAATTAGCACATCCTAATGCTATGCAGATGTGCAGAGCTGAGCTCATAGAAAAGAAAGTGCCATTGGTTTTTAGGAAACAAATGTAGCCATTTTCATAGGGCCGTATTGGAAGATGTGATATTAAATCCCCAACAATTTAGCGGTTTTGTTAAAAACAAGCTGTTTCTTTTCTTTTTTCTTTTTTTTTTTAGTCATTTGATAACTATTTGTTGAACACCTACTAAACAAAAATCATCTTGCCAAGAACTTTTTATGAGCCCCCACTCAACTCACTCTCAATCTCTCTCCCTCTCTCTCTCTCTCTCTCTCTCTTTCTCTCTCTCTCCCCCTCACACACACACACACACAATTTTTTTATATCTTTATTTTATTTATTTATTTTTATGTGCTGCTGAGGATCGAACCCAGGGCCTCACGTGTAATAGGTGAGTGCTCTACCACTGAGCCACGACCCCAGCCCACACACACAATTTTTTTCAAGAATTAAAAGCTGCAGAAAAAGTGCAAGGATGGCTCATTAAGTAGCCATCTACCATTTGCTTAGAAAACCATTTATATTTTGTTATAGAAAGTTGCAGGTATTGTCACAATTTACCCCTCAAGGACATTCCCCTACGTAACAACAATCTAATGATCATATTTGGGAAATTTAACGGTGATATAAAAATGTTGTCTAACATGAAGTGTATTTTAATTTCTCCAGTTTTCCTAACAATATCTCTTTTCACTTTTTAAAAAATTGACTTTAAAACCAGAATGCAATCAAAGATGGTGCACTGCAGTTAGTGTTACATTTCTTTAATCTATATCGAGTCCCCAGTGTTTTTAGTCCTTCATGGGACTGAAATTTTTGAAGAGTTCAGGCCAACTAGATTTGCAGGCTGTTCCTCAATTTGGATTTGCCTGATGGTTTCTTCATACTCAGGTAATACACATTTGATAAGAATTCTGCATGGGTGAAGTCATAGCCTCATCAGGATAAACACCTTCACCCATATCTATGACACTGTTTGATTGCTTGGTTAAGTTTGTGTCCATCCAATTTTTCCATTGTAAAGTACCCTTTTTCCCTTTGTGATTAGTATGTGCTTTGTGCCATTATACTCTGAGACTGAGGAACCTCTTTTTGTAAAGGCAAGAATATGAATTCCCTCTAAAATATTACAATCTGCTTAAGACTTGAAGAGTGGTTCAGAATGAAATATGGCAAGCACCAAAGCATGAGTTGATGAGGGGTAATTGATACTGTTCTGCAAAGTTCTGAAAAATAGGGACAATGAATGTGACCTGTAGAGCTCAGAGAAGGCTTCATGGCAGAACCCTGATTTAGACCAGCTTTGGGAAAATAATAGGATTTAGGCATATGAAGGGAATAGGAAAATTATTCTTCAGAATGAGTGTGACATAGTTAAGGTATAATGTGGAAACTAACCTAACTTGAATGGAAGATTAAAGAAGTATAATAAATTGCAGCCAAACTATTGAGAGCCTGGAATGTTAAAAAAACAATTGCTACATCATACAGGTAATTAAAATCTCTGACTTAGAACTCAGGTGAAGAGAGATTTTGCAGCAATAAGCATAAAGCCTCTTTCCAACAACCCTCTAACCTTTAAATATAAACGGGACTAATTTTTACAAATTGCTCCACTTCTATATACTAAGATATATAAGGAAAAAAAAACTTTTAGGGAATGTTATTCTTTTAATAAGGTACAATTTTTAAATTAAAAGAGTTGCAACAATTTAAACATAAGTTTAATAATAACAAATTATTTAAAATTTGCCTTTAACCTGCCACCTTGATGTTTTAATTTTTGCATATTATCCTGAATGTATTTCTGAACGTACTTTTGTCTGCTGTTGATCTCACATCACATTATGTCATACAGTTTTACCTTTTTCTACAGTCTGCCTTATTGCCTTTCTTAAGACCCAGAAGAATCTTAATCTAAGTCCTTTGTCATACCTATACATACAAATTTAATTATTGAAATTTACGATAAATATTTAATTAGTATAGGCAATAATTGGTATATTTCTATCCCTTCTAAGTGCTACACTTCATTGGATTGTTACTCTTACTCTCTTCAGCAATAGCATTTTTTCCATAACTTTAAATTATTTCATGAAGTTGAGGTTTAATAATTAAAAATCAAAAGTCTCACATAGTAGCTTTTATCTCCTTTTAAATAAATATATAAACATTTACATTGTTACTGTTTATTCTTTAAAAGGTCTACTTGAATATAAGTGGGTGCCTGGTATTTACACTTGCCAACTCTTGTATACCTTACTTCCTAAATGTCATATAGCCTCAGCCTGACTTTTGCTAGTTTGTTTAGTATTTCTGTTACTTTAAAGAGGATAACTATTTTGCCTTAAATATGGACAAAATTCCTTCTAAAACACAGCAATTGTCTAAATTCTTTTTGTTGAATATAAAAATGCCAATATTCATATTATTTTTAATCACTGAACTATAGATAATTATATGAATACATTTTTATCTGAGAAAAGATGCAAGCAAGTGATTATGATTAAAGAGAACACAGCCAGTCCCATTATAATTCTAGTGATATGATTACATGTAACTGTTGTTACTATATTGCAAGCATAGTACCCTACATATTTTTAATGTTATTTCTTTAATTACAAACTTTAAAAATAGGCTTCAAATGACTTTATCTGCTGCCATTCTGTTATGTTATTGGTTCTCAACATTTTCTATATTATATCTCAAAATTACCTTATTAAATAACCTCTACCATGCTAGAATTAGAAAGTTTGCATTTTCCAAGAAAACTATATGTTCACTGCTTTCTCATACTACTTGAATGCACTCTACCTTGACTTCTGTATGTCCCAGGTTGTGACTGACTACCTTAAAAATTTTTATTATATGATTTCATCTGTATACTGTCTAGCAAGTAGAAGTATTTATCTTAAATGTGCATTTCACCTTTTAGATAAGTATACCTCTGATTGAAAATGAATCTAAGTATATTTGCTAATATGTTTTGGTTCTATAAATAGTATGGCAAATATATAGTAAGAAGGGTATGACTTTCATCTCCTGTGCCCTGACAGACTCATTGGCATTTTCTCACAGAGTCCATCTAGAGCTTAGCATCCTTTTCAATACAGCTCTGTAATCAGCCTCTATAAATTGATGGGAATTGGCATATGAAACAAATTTTATTTGCCATCTCTGTTTTAGAAGGCACAACTTCATGAAAGAGTTAAGCATCCGTAGGGGCTTAGAAACTGAAACCTAGAATCCTAACATGATAGAGTGAAAATTCTGTATGATGAACCAGCTTGCTTTTGTTGCCTCTATTCTGTCTGATCTCCAGAAGAACTGAAGGGATTCCAAAAAGCCAGAGAGGGAGAAATGCATTCATGTAAAAAGAGAATTCTCAATAGCAGCCCAGTACTGAAGGTTTTAGCACTCCATTGAATTTTACATTAGAATTCTATCCTAATAAAAGATTTGTAATCTCTTACCTAAATTGGTTGATTAAAGCCATTTTGACAACAATGACAAAGGGCAAAGAAATTATAGTGTTACAGTGTTGTAGACATCATGAAGCTAAGAATGACTGTAATATCACTGCATTTATTCTTGTTATCATTCCTATTTTAAAAGATGCAGAATTCCATTCATGTAATTCACAAAAATAAAGAGTCTTACTCTCAGAATGAAAATGTTGAGATAAGGAAATATTACTGTAGCTATCCTGAGAAGGTTTCAGTAAGGTAATAGATGTGTTTATAGAGTAACAAATTTTCTTATAGAAATGAAAATTCATTTAAGTCATACAAGAAAATAAATATGTCACACAGATTATGATTTCCAATTGTAATTGTGCACTCAAAAATTTTAAATCCAATAAGATAGTAACATCACCACTTCCATCTGGGCTGTCAGTCTTGATTTTGCATATTCTAAATCTTATTAGAATGACTGATGTCAGTATGTACTGATTTAGATGCCTAGGCTTTCTCAACAGAAAAGAGGTAAACAAGACTAATGAACAATTACTGAGAATCTTTGGTCAACTAAGGAGAATAAAGTACATTTTTTAAATCAAAGTTTAAGGTAGCTGCTTGCAGAACCTTTTTTCATTGCATAGAATCATAATTTTTATTTGCAAATTTGTATTTCCTGATGACCTTTTCCCTATTTCTTCCTGATTTCCTCCTTCCTTTCCTCCCTGCCAACACAAAAGAAAGAAAACTCTTAACAGAATCTTTTTTCTCTTTCACATCAGATGCAACTCCAGTAGTACCTTCACGGGCAGCAACTCCAAGATCAATAAGAAATAAGTCTCATGAAGGAATTACAAATTCTGTAATGCCTGAATGTAAGAATCCTTTCAAGTTGATGATTGGATCGTCAAATGCCATGGGAAGGCTATATGTACAAGAACTGCCTGGAAGCCAGCAACAAGAACTCCACCCTGTCTACCCCCGGCAGAGATTGGGCAGCAGTGAACACGGACAGAAATCTCCATTCCGTGGCAGCCATGGAGGCCTGCCAAGCCCAGCATCATCAGGTTCCCAGATATATGGAGATGGTTCAATCTCTCCACGGACTGACCCACTTGGAAGCCCTGATGTTTTCACAAGAAATAATCCTGGTTTTCATGGAGCTCCCAATTCTAGTCCTATTCACCTAAATAGGACTCCTCTTTCTCCACCTTCAGTAATGCTACATGGTTCTCCTGTACAGTCATCCTGTGCAATGGCTGGAAGGACTAATATACCTCTTTCCCCAACTTTGACTACAAAGAGTCCAGTAATGAAAAAACCAATGTGTAATTTTTCAACTAATATGGAAATACCACGAGCAATGTTTCACCACAAACCACCCCAAGGCCCACCACCCCCTCCTCCACCTTCTTGTGCTCTTCAGAAAAAGCCATTAACATCTGAGAAAGATCCACTTGGCATTCTTGACCCTATTCCTAGTAAACCAGTGAATCAGAACCCTGTTATCATTAATCCAACCAGTTTCCATTCAAATGTCCACTCTCAGGTACCTGTGATGAATGTAAGCATGCCTCCTGCTGTTGTTCCTTTGCCAAGTAATCTCCCTTTGCCAACTGTAAAACCTGGCCATATGAATCATGGGAGTCATGTACAAAGAGTTCCGCATTCAGCTTCAACCTCCCTGTCCCCTTCTCCAGTGACATCCCCAGTGCACATGATGGGGACTGGAATTGGAAGGATTGAGGCATCGCCCCAAAGATCACGCTCATCTTCCACATCATCAGATCATGGAAATTTCATGATGCCACCTGTAGGACCCCAGGCCACTTGTAGTGGTATTAAGGTTCCACCCAGGTCACCAAGGTCAACTATAGGGTCCCCAAGGCCATCAATGCCATCAAGCCCTTCTACCAAGTCCGATGGACATCATCAGTACAAGGATATCCCTAACCCATTAATTGCTGGAATGAGTAATGTACTAAATACCCCAAGCAGTGCAGCTTTTCCTACTGCATCTGCCGGAAGTGGTTCTGTAAAGAGTCAGCCTGGTTTGCTGGGAATGCCTTTAAATCAGATCTTGAACCAGCACAATGCTGCCTCCTTTCCAGCAAGTAGTTTACTCTCAGCAGCAGCCAAAGCACAGCTAGCAAATCAAAACAAACTTGCTGGTAACAACAGTAGCAGCAGTAGCAATTCTGGAGCTGTTGCCGGCAGTGGCAACACTGAAGGACATAGCACTTTAAACACCATGTTCCCTCCTACTGCCAACATGCTTCTCCCAACAGGTGAAGGGCAAAGTGGTCGCGCAGCACTAAGAGATAAGCTGATGTCTCAGCAAAAAGACTCATTACGGAAAAGAAAACAGCCACCTACCACAGTGTTGAGTTTGCTAAGACAGTCTCAAATGGATAGTTCTGCGGTTCCTAAACCTGGACCCGACTTGCTGAGGAAGCAGGGTCAGGGTTCATTTCCCATCAGTTCAATGTCTCAGTTACTACAGTCTATGAGTTGTCAAAGCTCTCACTTGAGTAGCAATAGTACCCCGGGTTGTGGGGGCTCAAATACTGCTTTGCCTTGCTCTGCTAACCAGCTGCATTTTACAGATCCCAATATGAACTCCAGTGTTCTTCAGAATTCACTGACACAGAACATACCTTTAAGAGGGGAAGCCGTGCACTGCCACAATGCAAACACTAACTTTGTTCACAGTAACAGTCCAGTCCCCAATCACCATCTTGCAGGTTTAATAAATCAGATTCAGGCTAGCGGGAACTGTGGGATGCTCAGTCAGTCGGGCATGGCTTTAGGAAATTCATTACATCCCAATCCACCTCAGTCAAGAATTTCAACGTCCTCCACTCCAGTGATACCAAACAGCATTGTTAGCAGCTATAATCAAACAAGTTCTGAAGCAGGTATGGTTTTATTAGAAAAAAGTACCCAAAGGTACTAAGTTTTTCTACGTTTTTTTAAAAATTTGTACCAAAATATTTATTATAAGAAATGATCCTTTCCCCATTGTGAAATTTTCTTCATTCTTTAGTATTTATAATTTTATTTACAGAATGGTAGGGATTTGTCTATTGGAAAGAATAAGGGGATTCCATATGTTTCTGTTATTTGTTATCAATCTGTGTCATTTTGAATATTGTTCAACTTTTAGTTGGTTTTATAACCAATGGACTATAAATTGCAAAAAAAAAAAAAAAAAAGCCATAGAAAGCAGGGTTTTCTGGTTATGAGACATGTCCTGGTCTATGCCAATATAGAAGCTGTTTCCCCTTGCTTTTGTTTGTATTCAGGTAAATGAAGCTCATCTTGGAAAATCCAAAAAGGCAAAAATAAATGGATATTATTTTTCTTGCTGCTGAACAGAAATAGGTGAATGGATAGGAAAAAGTAACTAGAAGTTGTATGAAATAGGAAGCTATCTTCTAATGTGTTTTCTTATCCTACTTTGCTATCCTTTATTATAATTTGTTTGAAAAAATTCAAAAATGAATATTGGCTACTTCTTTTTTTAAAAAAAAAAGTAATAATTTAAGTTTTCTAATAAAAAGGCTTGAAAACCTGATTTCCAGAATTTTTGATCTTGAAATTGCTTTAAATTTTCTTATAGAACTAAACCATTATTTTTACCATTGACACTAAGGTTTTGAACCCAAATTTAATGTAAATCTTCACCCACTATTAGTGAAGGAGACAAGTTTATGTAAAAGTAGACACATTAGAAAAAGAACTATGTTTTGTGCAATAGAGTCCTCAGAAATCATTATAAAAACTGTATGGAAGCACTAAAGAAATGAATTCGTTGAGACTTCAGAAAATTTGACCATGAAAACATTAGAAAAACTACTAAGAGCCCAACACTAATGATTTCAGATTTGTGGGAAATGACAGGGAGGCAATAAAAGATGACTGCAGAGTTATTATAATTCTTACTTGAGAACAGCAAGCTTTAAAAACCAGATTGCTCCTGGAAATGAGAAAACTGCTAAGGCTTTTACTAATCAACTACCATTAGATTTTGTGGACTGTATCACACCACCATGCTGAAAATGGATACTCTACATGTCTATTGCTGTAGTAAAACCAAAAGTGTTTTCTTCCTGGTGTTGCCATCTTTCACAACCTGGTTATATGTTCTGTGTTGATGTCAGTATTTAATGAAGAACTGTTCAATGACCTCTTATGTTAAAAAGAATACAAGGTTTAGAAGATATTCAAAATTATTAGTGCCTTCTTGATATTCTTAGTTTAAGGAATCTTATGAACCTTTATTTTTTATGTGTTTAACAGAATTGTTATCCCATAAGGGGCTTCCAGCTGTTCACTGACTCCTTATTCATTAATTCTACACAAAAATTTAATCTTATACATATAGAAGATTAAAGTTACATGATTTCTATAACTATTTAACAATGTACCATATTCAGTGAGCACACATTCAATCATTTTGATGAGACATTGGTAGTCTCATTATATTATGTAGTTTTGATAGTTTTGATACCCCTTACCTCAATTTACTTAATTTCAGGTCAAAATTCATATGTACAAAGTATATGTATTTTATTAGTGATATATTTCAATTCATCCATAATGGAAAAGACCAATGTTTGTTAACATTCTTGTTTCTTCTGATGCCAACTTTAGGCTTATTTTTTATAATATAAAATAAGGTCACTTATTTTTCTGTCCCATGTATCTATGTAAAACATCTGACTTCAATTGCTAGTCCTGGTGGTATCAAAGCACACAGGTTAAAATGATATTAATATAAGAGAAGCTTTAGCATATATATAACTAAAAAAGAACTAGAATAAATGACTAGTAATGAAATGATGTGACCAATGATGCACAAGCTAACCTGAAAACATATGTTTAATTAAAATCTAAGTTAGTAAGAATTTTTAAACTATTTAACCTTATAAAATTAAATACTAAGTAATGTACTTAGGTCTGCTGTGCAGCTGGTTATGAAAATGGGTTGACTTACTAATTAATGTAACTCTTTTGATGAGCTAAATATTGAAGAGATCTTTAGTGCATGTTTCTTTTTGCTATGAAGTAAATTGTGTCAATTGAATGTACTGTTCTTATAATCACCTGGCCTAAATATCTGTTCACACTGACATTTATTCATTCATCAAATAATCATTAAGCACCAAGGCTGGGCATCCAGAATGAGACAACAGGTGACAGTCACAGCTATCCCTGTAAGAGGTTTTCTAGGTATTCCTACTACAACAGTAATATATGAGAAGAAAAATGGCTATCATTAAGTATCTACTATGTGCCAAGTGGTTTACCTGTGTTATTTATAATCTGTGCAGTTTTCCAGAGTATAGAATTTTATTGTCCCTGTTTTCCAGAAAAGGAAACTGAGCCTTAGAAAATTTAACTGTCCAGGATCAAATGTAACTGAATCAGAACTTGAACTCAGGTTCATCTGATTCTAAAATCCATTTTTCCCCAGCTGTATAAGTTCTTCATCTGAAATGTTTAGTGTACAAAAATAATTGTTTTCTACTTCCATTTCAAAATCTTTTAAAATGTTCAATAGAAGATGAATAGAAGCACATCAATACATGTTAGAAGCCACATTTATAAATTTATGATGTATTGTTAGACAATATCAATTTTTGAACTCTACTATCATAGCACAAAATGATTTAAATGTTTTTCTCAGTTACAGAAGAAATATCCAAAATATCATGAGAACTGCCCTTATTCATGGATCATAGTTGGGGACCTTTCTGTCAATGAGTTATCACCTCACTCAGATAAGAATGGGTTTCCTACTGGGTGGCCTATCACTAGACCTTCGAAAGAGGTGACTGTGCAGATACTAATCATGTTGTTCCAAGACTGGTAGCATAGTAAGTGTGAAAGAGACCCACAGGTAACACGTCCAGCTGCACCCTGTGCTAACAGCCTAGACATAGCTCAGGTGACCTGCTCCATTCAGTGCCTTTATTCACTCTCCTAAGCAGCAATTCAGAAACATCACATTAAGACATTGAAACAAGAAATTACTTTCTCTGAAAATGCTTAATTTGATTGGTAACTTATTTTCAAAACTTCTTTTTAAAATGATTTTTTCTATTGTTAAGACTCCAATTATTGAGTCTTAGGTCTATATATGAGTTCTGTATTATTTACATTTAAAATATACAACTCAAACAGAGGAATTAGGGGCAAAGATTGTGACAAAATCAGATAAAAGATATGAAATATTTAGAAATCATTTCTAAAACTTAGGGGCTTTATTAATTCTATTTGGTGTTTTCAGAATGGCTTTTCACTAGAGCTGCTCAATACTCTGGATTGTAATGTGTATAGGTTCCTATTAGCTTTTTGAATATAAAATTGCAATTCAAGCTTAATACTTTCATGTAACAGATGTAGAACTAACAGGAGGATATTTGGTGACATGCCCCAAATTCTAATGTTCTGGTGAATGTGGCATCCAAACCCCAAAGTTCCTAAATCACAGTCCAAACAAACTGCTGAACACAAGCATATGCTCAAAATCCTTCAGCAGTAAACATTTCAAACAACTTTCAGTTTTTAAAGAGAGACAAATTTCAGTACTTCAGTGGTTCCAGCTCATGTCCTGTGGTGTTTTGATATACAGAGGGAACCAAAATCAAGTGCCCTTGACTGGCAGACTTCAAAAGGCCCATGCTTCCTGGGGCTTCTGGCTATAGCACACCTGCTAACCACGTCACTAAAACACCTATCCTGGGAACCCTGGCCTCTGTAGGGGACTTGGCCCTGTCAGCATCCATACAGGAATGTGTCCCTCCCATGACCCTGTGATGTTTCACAATTTTCAAAGAAGAAAGATTTAGATTATTCTAGTAACATTCTTTCTTAATAACAATCTTCCTCCTTCCAATATAATAAAGTCATTAAATATAACCTTTTCATTTAAAATGCTTTTATATCCTATTTTCCTTAATAAAAACATTTAATCAACTCTTCTCAGCACATGAAAATATAATCATGAGGGGACAGAGTATGGATTTATGACAAATGAGGAAATAATTAAAACATTTATTTGCCTTAACTCTTAAATATATACATTGACTAATAAGAATATAAATAAACCTATCAATGAATATATTCATGAGTATTTATATAAATATATATGTATATTTTTAAACTCTGTGAAAGCAAGTGTTTTCTTTCAGCACAAAATACATTTGAAACTCAGGACAGCCATTGAAATGGTAGGTATAAGACAATGAAATAGTTGAGACCACAAAAAAAAATGCTTTGGGTAAAAGACTACAAAGTAATGTGTTTAATTTTTTTGTTCTTGTGTTTATTTATTCTCAGAACATGCCAGTAGAGAAAATAAGGGAAGTTGTCATCCCTTACATTGTTTAGATGAGCCTACAAGTACAGAAATTTTAAGGGATGAAATGTCCAAGGGCAAATTATACTATATGTTAGCCTTCTCAAAGTATGGGAAGTTTGTGTGGAAATAATCATCTAGTCTCATACAGACTAATGTAGACTGAAGAAAGAGGCAGAGGCTCATCGAAGGTGGTTAACTAGATTAATAACAATAGTCACTATTGAAAGTATTTCCACCAAATTTTTGAATAACTAGATTTTATTCTTCTGAGGCACAAGGCTTATAGGTTAAAATTTGCTCTGTGCTCTTGTTATTTAACCAGACAACAAAACTGTATTAAATTCTGGGATGTGTGATAAAAACCTATGTCTATTCTTTTAGTTAAATTTTTGCAAAATGAGCCATTTCTTCTTTGCTGTAAGATATTTTTACTACAGGCAATGTCTTGCTGTTTAAGAAGGTTTCCTAATATCAGAGTTAAACCATTTGTTTTGTTTACATGTTCCAGGTTAAATGTTTCCTTGTGTACAAAGAAAAAGTTAAAATATG